GGCGATTGTTGGGCGAAATTCCTCCTGATCGGGGTTGTTCCAGCTTTGGAGAAGAGATAGTGTGGACGAGTCTACAATCTCATCAGCTTATTTTCCGGGGAAAAGTGGGGGCAAATGAAGCCAAATAACGGCCATCATACCACGCTCACGACAAGTGTCTATCGTTTCTGTGGCTGTATCATCGCCTTGACTTTGGGCCGCATGGATACTGATGTCTTGCCTGAGATCTTCTAGGATTAAGCGATCCTGCTCCGTCAGGGTTGGGTCGAGGACGATAAGCTTTTCCATGCCGGACGGCTATTGAGCTCTAAGCAAAATGGCTTCAGATTTGAGAAGTCACAGACACTGAGCATGTGCCGCCGGAAATGGTGAATTGAGAGCTGATACTCATTTATTATTCGAGGAGGTTCTCCATGCACAGATCAAGTTTGGTTCAGTTGTGTGACACGGAGTGCCGGCTCAGTTGTGACACACCATGCCGCCGCCTCAATTGTGACAGCTGAACCCAACAAACAGGGCGGAGCGTGGAGGATTGCGCGGCCAATAAAAGATACAAACGCTCAATATAGTTGATTGATGTTCTGTTACATCGGAGAATGGGCCAATCAATGCCCTTAGATTGCTGTTATCTCCTGCAAATTATGGAGAAAGGCTTTTAGGGCATATACAATCATACTAGGGGAAGAAGGCATCCAGTTGTTCGCGCGAATCTGAACTAGCGAATTGGTGACAAGTGAGATCTCACTCAAAAACAAGGGAGCCTGGCGAGTTCAAACCTAACAAAGTTTGAACCAAGAGGTACGTCCGAGGATAGAGCTGAAAGTATCTTGGATGAACAACTAGTAGAAGAACTTTATTCGCGGCGACAAGAAACAGAGCCCTAGGTGTCGCGCAAATTAGAAGTCAGCCCGAACCTTGACCCACGCTAGGGCATCTTGACGCCAAACGCCGGGCATAGATCTATGGGGAGATAAGGTGAAATGGGCGGATTTGACTTGAAAACTGTAAATTTAATTTATTTAAGAAGCTCTTTCTCGGTCTAGGCTTCCATGCACCCAGCTCGTAACAGCGGGACGGGCAAACCAGCAGTAACGCCTCAAGTTGGCCTTGGAAGATCTGAGCAAAGGCACTCCTAAGAAACCCTTTCTACAATACCTATCCAGGGAACCCGCGGCACTGCAAGTAGTGACTTGTAACCACCAAATCCGTAGCCGACACGCCTGCTTCAAGGAGATACTGCGGTGACGACCTCGACGCGAGATACCAACACATAGTAGAGAATTTATAGTAACTAACGGCCAACAGCGTAGGCACTAGCTGAGGATCCTCATGTTTAAGGGTTACTTCCGATAAAGAGAACTGCTTTAGCAAACAGCATTATGAATGATCGTTCTTGAAATGAGTCAATAATATGGATAAAGGCTGATCGATGTTATCTTGTCACCAAGAGCTGGAGCTTTTACATCCTAGAGCTATTCGGGATATAAGAGAGCTTTCAACAAGGAGCCTCAATACTGGCACCCTTTATATCCCGCTCTGTCATCGCCAGTCGCCTTGGTAGTTAGTGCGATAATCGCTGAGGTAGCGTTGTTTGTGAGATAGAATTTGAGGCGGAGGCAGTTGGTAAGATATGAGCTGAGCTCTAGGGAAATAGTGTACCCCCTGGCGACATAATACGATGGTTTCTTACTAGTTGTTTATGTTGTCGGCATCTGAATGTTTACTTCTTCTACCAAATGCAATGGGCCTCCGCTGCATTCGATCTGACTACTCTAAACTAGAGGAAGTTAATAGAGAAAGATTCTTGACCGGTATATAGCGGTATCGTTTATGGAAATGCAACCGCGTGGCACATGATCCGGGTGGCTATGGTGAGTTGTGTTGGTTTCGTCGATATTAAATATGATTCTAGGTCTTTTGCTCCCTCTTTTGCTTCACTCATTGGTGGTCACTGTTGGTAGTTCGTTTTGGTAGTTGGCTATTCAGTAATATCTAACAATATCGAAGGAGGATCAGGATCCCTCGCGTTGGTTTGCCAACACTGGGGTCTCGGGATGAAAGTCAGGGCTGATCACATGATGGTTGGCCAAAGGGCTAGCTACCCCCCTTTTCTCCCTCATCAAACCTTCCCGCAACACGGCGGGGCTTTGTCTCCTTACTCCCGTTCCCATCTAACACTCAATGTTGCTGTTCAGTCCCATTGATTTAACTTCTCTCTCTCCCTCTCTCATTTTTTTCATACATGCGCAATATTTCTCCATAGCCAGAGATGCACTCGTATACCCTTAAAATGCACACAGCTATCACGCTTACAATTGTGATTCGCATCACGCTAGCTCTCACAACATACCCTCCGCTACAAGTAGATCCACTAGTAAACAACGAGCGCCCATTTATATACCCACTGCCCCGGTGCCAAAAATGTCCGACCATAGAATCAATCACTGAGCCAGCCGTGGCTTTCGCTCTAGAGATGGGATACGCGTCAGTGAATTTATCATATCCTCAAGCAACACTTGCTCGTTGACGATCGTTGACCGATTTCCCCGCGTAGAACCGTCTCGGTGAGATACGATAATGGCTCATTCGAACCCATTGCTAAAATCGATGCCTCTCTCGAGTACAAGGCCCTCATGAAGCACCTGGCAATAAGCCCTGTTGAACGAGTAGGACCAGGCTACCGCCTTCCTCCCGGACTCGACCAATCGAGTCTATGGGCGTACCCAATTTTCTACTTTGAACGACTCAAGCGTGCAACCAACAAACTCCTACTGCGGCCGGCGACGCTGGAAGTACGGATTATGGCCGGCATGGTATCTCAGTTACGAGCAGCAGCTGAGGATCGGCTGAGGCATCAAGTCAAGCGTGCTGCGCTGAGCAGCCCATATCGTGTGGCACTGACCTGGGAAGAGATTGACGATGTCTTTGACTTCCTCTGGATGACGAATCTCTTCCGTAAAGAGAAATCGTCCGCTCCAGAACCGCAATACACAACGAGGGCGGCTTACGCGGCTTACGGTTATGGTCTGTGTGAGAACTATACAAACACCTATGCTTGTGCGAAGGAAGAAGAGAGCTATCAATGGCAGCAAACCTTGCATATCGATTTTGGCGTGGAGAGCTTGAGCGGTACTCTAGGCCGGTTCAGAACAGCCAGGAAGCAATACCCAGACCGCGCGTTTGTCAGCCCGTCTCTCGGATTTCGGCGGGTGCAAACCACACAGGACTTCAGGGAAACCGAAGCTTTCGCCACTGCAATAGAGTGGGAACACGAGTACTGGGAGGAAGTGAGGGTCCGCATTCGGGAATTTATCGCGGAATGCACGCCCCATAGACCTCTAGATGTACTGCTGCTTAGCGGCGAGCACGCATCCAATCCGAGGTTCAAAGCGGCCCTTCGACATGCCCTGGAAGAATCAGAGCGGGCGACACCATCTGTGATAGCAGCCCTCGAGAACAGGGAAAGGCAGATTGGCGAGGACGAGTATTTTCTATATGCAACCTCGCTTGGTATGGCGGAACTTGCGAAGCGGAGACAAGAAGGCTCCGCCGAATGCCTGTTGCCAATAGAATGCCGAGACGGAAGGCAGCAAGGCGAGACCAGAAGACGCTCAGAGGAGCTATGAGCCAAAAATTCATCAAGTCTAGTAGCTTTATATTCTCATAAAGAATCAATTTATCCAGTCTTTATTTGCCAATGTTTAGTAGTGAAGGGGAGTCAGACCGGTACCCGCGAACACCATCGGTCTAATCTTGACGGCCAGAGAACAGTGGCAACTAGACTATAGCAATTTGAGCACGCGTATTTACGTGCGAGATTCCAACGCAGAGTAGCAAGGATATAGGGCAATTAACGCCTCTGGCGTTAAAAATAACGTAGAGGATAAGTATTATGTAACCCCCCCTGGACCTCGTTGCAGGCTTATGACGCGCTCCCATACGTTTGGGGGTCAAAGTCTAAGAATTACTATGTAATCCTCCACGCAAATAGATTGCGCGCATGGCTGGGTACTACAGCAACTTTCGATGCCGCGCTTCAATCGCATCCCAATCCGACATAGGCCGCGACTCTGTTCTGTGCGGCCAGATACGCTCCAATAAGCTTAAAAAAGAAATGCTGAACCTTGCCATCCCGATGCTCAAATCTCGAATCCCTAGCAAATACTTGTGAATTGAGCTGTGGCTTACGCCCGAGAAAATCAACAATCATCTGCATCTCATCTCGGCTCCCGCCGTTCTCCAGTATACACTGTCGATAGACCTGTCCCACTTCACCATCCTGGAGCTTATACCGGAACTCGGTGTAAAAGAAATCCGCCGCATAAACCTGGGGGCTGTAGAATTTCGCCATAAACCCGCTGGTCTAGACCGATATATCGTCAATATAATGAACAAACAGGTTATAAGAACTTTGTTCCCGGCGACAATGAGCTTCCACAAGACGATTACGGACACGGCACTCACACGAAGGGCAGCCTTAGTGCATGGGAGGCAGGTGCATATTTAGAATATCACAAGTCTCAGAAGTTCTATGAGTAGATCACTGGCACTGGTATACAGACGGTTGATAGGGGATAGACTGCTGTATATTATTATTAGTCTATGGGCTTGTTACTAGACCGGTTCTTGTAGGAGAAAGGGGTTATTCGAGGAGGATCTAGTGGATGGCCCCCTGGATCTGAAGCGTCGCTTGCCAGCATTGGCTGCAGAATCTCCTGTAAGCCATGGGCGCTCTACGTACCCGTTCATGCAGCATATAACGTACTGCATCATTAGCATTGTGGGGGGGGACTATTAGGACCCCTGTCGAGATGCCTAAGGAGATTCGCTTGTACGTGTTAGGAAGTGCACTATTTTATGAGAGCTTTTAAGAACAAACATTTTATGTGAGAGGCACACCTCAACTGGGAATGTGTCACACTTACGGATGTGGGATACCTCAAGTCTATGATTGTCTATGGGCCGTCTACGGGGTTTCCACCTCTGCTAAGAGGCAAAGAGGCCGGTTGGCGCAATGGTAGCGCGTCAGATTCCAGAATGGAAGCTCCTGAAGGTTATCCGTTCGATCCGGGTACTGGTCAAGCTTTTTTTTTCTTCCTTTCCAGCTGGGGCCTTATACATATTAAACATGTGTGCTTATTCACTTGTGCCGTATATACTTTACTACATATATTTTAAGTAAATCGATTAACGATGGTCTCAAATTCAATTTTTAGACCATTTTTGATGCAGTGGGACTGTTAGGGTTAGTAGTCTTACTCCCCAGTAGCCGAGGTAATGCTAGCCGTCCTTGGCAAGGCTGTTAAGGTACACTTGACATCCTAGAAACAATCAATAAATCGAGTAATCATATAGTATACCCCAGTCACCTTGTAACTAGCTTTCACTCAAAAGAGCCTGCAGACTTAGGTACTTGCCTTAGAGTAGGGTAATCTGCGCGCTTACTTTCGAGAAGGTTGGCCTGTGCACCTGCCTTCCCTTGCCAAAGGACTTGGAACGATATAATGTAACAACGAATCAAACTGAATGCGCAGTCTTTAGATTGAACTGGAATTGCTTCCAACCTCCTCTCCTGTATACATTCCAAGGTGAGCCGGTACACTGGCAGTTCTCGAGAAACGCCGCGGCGGAGACGACAGGGACGATACTGCTGCCCTGCATCTGTTTGTAGCCTTTGTGTCGAGCGTAATGTATAGCGGAAATACGCTACCAAGGGTATACAGCCAGGGTCCCAGGAAGACTAAGGCGCAAGTCTAAAACGCCATCTTGATCTCGTCGGCAATCACCGGAGTTGGAATCGTGTTGCAGACCGCCGCCCAGAACATCGTCATGTTCGTCGTGGCCCGCATTATCATCGGCTTCGGTATACAAATTAGTAATACCGCGGTGCCGACTCTGCTCGCCGAGCTCCTCCCTCTGTGCCAGCGCTCGCGTGTCCTGGGAATATTCTTCTCGTACTACTACGTAGGCAGCCTACTGTCGAGCATCATCAATTTCGATAGCCAGGACATCCCGACCACATGGGCCTGGCGCCTGCCAAGCCTGCTGCAATTCATCCCGAGTTTATTGGCCGTCGCCCTGCTACCTTATGTGCCTGAGTCGCCACTCTGGTTTCTCCATGTTGGCCGCGAAGATGAGGCGCGCGAACTAAGGGCGGTAGGTGCTGCCGTATTCCGTTTTTTGGGACTCGGCCTTTGGCTTGATGCTCTCGTTCGCCATGTCATACGCCATGGCGGACCTGGATTGGAATTTTTATCTAATCAACGCCTCGTGGGACGTTGTTTTCTGCGTTATCATCTACATCACTTTTGTCGAGACCAAGGGTCTCAAGCTGGAGGAGATCGCGTTGAAGGTTGAAGGCAATGCGCTTGTGGAAGCGGTGGACGGCGAGGGGAACTACGACGCGTCCCAGAGACGCTCGTCAGCCGGGGACAAAGGTGCAGGAGGTGCCGTGGTGGATTCCACGCCGAAACCCGAGAACTGGACCTGGATTTTCAGGCTGTGTCATTCATTCATCGCTCCTCATAGCTAGCATAGATGTATATGATGGTACATAGGTAGACAACTCTCAAGAGTGCCTGCAGAACGTACACCTCTAACCAGCGACATTTACTCTCCCACACCACCTGATGCCTGGCTTGGCATGAAGCTGACGTGCAGGCATTTTATCTCAACTCAATGCGACCCCATGAGCGGTTTCGGTGTGAAGACGAGTACCGCGCAGCAATTGAGGCAGAGTTCATACTTCAACCTCGGGCACTCCGTCGAATGATACTCACATGCCTTTTGTAGGGTGGCGAGATGGGGAGATGATGGAGCTATTCAGCCCCCAACCCTAGCCACCTCAAACGTCGGTTATGGCGCGGCGCCCCACGCGGCCTTCCCAGTTGGGAACCCATCCCCTGGCTCTTCGTTCAGCCCGTGCGGCGCAGGCGAATCGACGCTAGTAATCCGACGAAACCGACCAAGACGTGCATGATAAGACTATAGGCGAGTATACGGCCGCTTGTTAGCTTCCGTCGTATTAAATCGGCAGCTTCTGCGCTCCCCGCGCTCCTTCGTCTCCATCCTCGCAATACAACAACGTCGAAGGACAGTTCGTGCTGCGAAACACAAAACGCGAACTCAACCATGTCAGCTGCTCCACAGCAATCACAGACACCCGTGCCGGAGACAACAGGGCCTGTTGTAGCGCCGGATTCTATCCTTCCTACTAATCCCGACCCCACCACTGCGTCTCCCTCAGCAACGCAGAAGGAGCTCCAATCCCGCGCGGAAGAGTACGTCAAGCAAGAGAAATTCACGCGAACATTCAAGCTACCGGCGACGGCCCAGCATGCCGAACTCACCGTGAGCTACGCTATCGGCGGAGTAGACTCACCGTCCGCTCCGACCGTATTGTTCATCAGCGGCATGTATGGGGGCAGATTTCTGGCCTCGTTTGCAGACTACCCCGCAGAGAAGATGGGGATGCGGGCAGTCGTCGTTGATAGGTTAGTGCGCTGTCCGGGATCGAGCTTCAACCAGAGTCGGCGCAGGGAGTCTTGCAAGTTTCGCTAACTTCACATAGACCCGGGTTAGGATTGTCAACTCCTGTCGACGCGTCGCTACGCCTCTCAGTCTGGCTTGAGACCGTACCCGAGCTAATGCGAGTCCTTGGGGCGAAGCACTTGTTTCTCATGTCGCATAGCTGCGGTGTAATCTACGCCCTCAATACCGTGCACGCGATGCCCTGGATCCTGCCGCCTACCCACCGAAAGCTGTACCTCTTCTCTCCCTGGGTAAGCCCCGACCACTCGGGCGTGACCATGCTGTCAATTTCGTCCCACCTACCCTCCCCCTTGATAAACAGCTTCGACGGAATCATGCGCTTCGTCAGAGGGGCAGTCGTGCCAACGTGGCAGTTCTCAGGCATGATATCCGGCATGATATCTACCCCGTTTGCCGCACTCGGGAAAGACGACAAGGAAAAGGACAAAAAGATACCGAAAGGCCAGCAGGACGAGCTGTGTCGCAAATATCTCGGCATCTCGGCCGCAGAGTCAAACGCCCGCGGGACCGTGCTCACAGAAGCTATTTTTGCTGAGAGCACGAGCGGTGCGAACCACGAAGCCCTCCTGTCGCTTCGGAAGGAGGTCGCTGGAAGCTGGGGAGCCTGCGACAACTACGAAACCTATCCCGACACCCTGATCGAGAAGCTGAGAGACTATAATCGACAGCAGAGTGAGCGGGATGCCGCCGACAGCCCGCCGGTACAGACACCGTTTGTTATCAAGGCGATCTGGGCGGAGACAGACATCATGATTGAGAAGAAGGGCGAACAGTACTTTGACTCGTGCTTCCAGCGATATATGCAAAGCGAGAGTTCGACCGAGCAGGATGCGGACCGTGTCCTGCTCTATGAGAATGAAACCATTCCCGAGACAAACCACGAATCATTGTGTCTACCGCAATACGGATCGCTGCCGCAGGTGCTCTCGGAGATGATGGGCAAGCCGGTTTGGTAAGACTAACGGTCTGCGGAGATGGATGGATGCCGGTCATCTGCTTGAGTCAGCTAGGCTTCTAGGTACAAATAACGTATTTGGACTGAGTATGCAAATAGAAATAGTCTTGTAGCCTCATCCACGAAGTGGTGGTCAACCATGTTGCTCGCGTCCCCGAAGACGCCGAAGCCAGGAACATTCTAAGTGAACAGTCGAGCGATTCTAAACTACCGCCCGACTCTTCCAGAAAGTAATATGGTTTGTGCGCGTCTCGGCACGCGCTACTATTTGCTGTTGCTTCTGTTCGGCCGCCGGCTGTCCGCCGACATCCCGGATAAATGATTGGCGATGCGAATTAGACGAGGTGCCAAACCCCTCCAATATAGATGGACACGCGACTTCCGCCGCCGCATTCTCTTGGCGATTATAGACTTCTGGTAATAGAGCAAGGCAACCTCACTTCATTGCTAATTTGCTTTCCCTTCTTACGTCCCTGACCAACTAACCATTCTACCGCCTCCTTGAAAGCTGCTTGAGCCGATATAATGGGAGTTAGGTTACTGACATGTGTTGCAGCACTCTGGCTGCTGCTAAGTTCCTGGCATGGAGTGAGCGCGGCCCGGAGCTGTGGGAGCGCTACCGGCACAGGGACCACCTTCAAGTGGACCGTTCTCGACTGGCGTTACGACGGACCCGACCCGAAGAGCAAAGACACTACGGCCGTGATGCGCGCCACGCTCTCCCCAGGCTCAACCCGAACGTTCTTCACGTGCTTCGCTCAATGGCCAGAGGCGTGGGGAGGGCGAATTGACGGCAACGGCAGTCTGGTCTGGAACGACTGCACCTGGACGGGCCCAAGCGACACCAATGACCTGATTGTCTCGTTTGCTATGGACTGGAAGAGCCGCACCGTTGCCGCAGCACATACATATGCGTGTTCTGAAACCGCACGACAGGGGTAGGCACTCGAGATTGCGCTCTCTGAAGCTCCGGAAGCTAACCATAGCCTTGCAGCACGAACATGGTCGCGACAGGATCAGTCGTCGTAGACCTAGATTGCTCTGGAACCACGTGCTTTACGAAGCAGGACCGCTACGATTTCAACACTAAGCAGGAGCCCAATCCTCTCGCGGCGGGTGCATCTTGCGGCGACAATGGGCGGAGGAACCAGTCCTGGGTTGTTGAGAATTACACGCGAAAGTACGACAAGGCCGACACGGCAACAACGACGACAGAAAAGAGCATCTCTTTCACGCTGCGAAACCAAGCAAACCATGACTCATTTGACTGCGCCGTTTCAGGGGCAGCGAGCCCTGGAAAAGCTGAAGGAAGCTGCAAGGCGGCCGCAACAAGCGACTCCACGGCTAAGTTTCAGTTCAACTCTGCCTCAAGCGTGTTGGTTGTCACTCAGAGTTGGAATTGTACCGAGGCAGCTGCGTAAGTATCCCTATTTAGCTGATCCTGAAGGTGCACATGTTCTGACAGCCGCTTAGGAAACCCCTTAATGCTGTAGGCGTGGCGTACGTCGAGGACCGATGCGACCGCAAGGGGGATTCATTTGACTGTGCCTCGACATCCTTCTGGATTGGCGGACA